TTCAGTCTTCTTTTTGCTCCCCCAGCCCACTCTAGCAGTCTGAATTAAATCCCAAAGCACGAGGGGTTGGACCTTACACATAGGTGTGATCACAATCAGTTGGCATAAAGTCCTTCCCTCAGGTGAAGCTTCTACTAGGACAGATTCTCATTCAGCAGGATGACCCACCAAAGTGTGGAATCCCATGGGTGTGTTTCTTCTCTCCTTGTCCAACAAACATATAATCATTCATAATATTAATCACTTTATATGGACATAGTAAGAGATACATTATGCTTATAGGATTGCTCTCCTCTGGTCTTGTTGTCATAGATCTCAGACTACAGTGCTCTAGTCAGATTAGTCTTTCCAAACCCTAGCAGGGTCCTAATCTCATTACATTTTGGATCATGACAGCATTTGCCCATGACCATGCGCTTAACTTTTAAGTAAGTATTGTGGCACTTTGGCCTGGCTCATTTCAAGGCCAGGGTAGCTTACAGCTTGCCCTGGGTCCGTTCAATCCCTCATTGGAACCCTGCTTTTGGGGTGCTAGGAACTAAGGGCAATTGAGGCTTAAATTGAGAAAGCAGAGGACCAGGAGTGAATATTATTTGGAGTCAATTAACTCCCAAGTTACAAAGCATAATATTAAACTGTTTTCCTGTGTAATACAAAGGTCACTGCTTTAAAGTAAACTATTTAAAAGATATAAGGAGAGGAGAAAGGCAATATTAACTTACAATACAAATTTCAGTGTCTTTAGAAGGATCTGACCTCACAAGTTAACAAAAAATGATTCAGGGGAAAAAGCTGATAGACTGGTTGGGGAAGAGAGCACAGAGAAGTTACAGATAAGCACAGAGAAATTGGAGTGACTTGGGAGCACTGTGATGGGTGTAACCCATAAACCTAAGCTCCCTGAGGCAAGGGAGAAAGGTCAAACCAATGTTATCCTAAAAGGTAAAAGGTAAAGGCCCTCCCGTTGATCATCGATTTGCTCGAGCGGGCCCAGTAACATCTCCACTGGAGACTTTGTTGTTACTGTGTCTGGCATATCGAATACTCTCGGTAGCTTGCCGGGCTCTCCAAGAGGGGCGGAGGAATCGAACTCGGGTCGGCCATGTTGGCCACTTGTAGGGCAAACGCCCTATCTCTGTGCTACCTTTTATGTTATCCTACACCTCAGCATATTAGTCTTGTGGGTTCTGGTCATTCAGTTTTGTTTCAGTGTTTCTTTGGCATCCTAAAATAGTTTATCCAACAAATTATGGAATGTAAGTTATCATTTTTCGAGATCATGCAAATATGTAAGCCTCTTCATGTTGTGTATTGCTTTACAATTTAAAAAATATGTATATGTACTCCAGTCATAACTACTAAAATTGAAGACCACCCCTCATATTAGTGTTTTCAAAATGAATTAGAGAAAAAAATTATTGACAATATTAATTCTTTTGAATAATTTATTCCTCTGTAATACAATTTTACTTGAAATTTCATGATAAAATTTTCTTTTTCAAAAGATTTAGATGACTACTGTAAATTTATAACACTGAAGCAATTTTCAAATATATTAATATATGCTCTACAATATATGTACCTCCTCTCAGAGAGCCTGGTACCAAGAGTATCCCACCCTCATGGCAAAGCCTGGCAAGCTACCCATGGCATATCTGATATGCCAAAAACAGTAACAATAACGGGCCTCATTCCCCTGACCCTGAAAGAGCCCCCAAATTGCCATTGTGCTATGCTAGCACGCAACAGGGATGAATGGAGTCATTACTGGTGCCCACTCAAGCAAATCAATAATTAGTGGGATGACAAGTGACAAGTGACATTAACATATGAATACATGTATGCCAGAATTAATATCCTTATTAGCTTTCAAAGAAAATTTTGCAGATTTTTGGATTCCTATATAAAATTTTTTATTGAACATTGGTTTTTATAAAGCCAACTTTACTAAAGTTTCAACTTCAGGATGGTCTGTATCTATGAATGATCAGTTTCTCTGTTTCTTGCTCCTGTATAATGTACATTCACAGAGATATAACATTAGTATAAGGCATAGGCCTTAGTGACTACTTAAAATTTGGAGGTTAATTACCATTACTGGCTTTTAGTTAGCTCCAATGATTACTTAATATAGTAAAATAATTGATTTGTTATTAACCTGCACAGTGCCACATGAAAGACTAAATAGGTTCAGTGTTCTTAGATGCACGGTATTCAATCCTTTTCCAGGTACTTGTAAATGAATACATTTTTCTGCAGATTAATTTCTCACAACTCTTCAGCACTTAGAGTCATAACATCACACTTCTGAGTGTGAATGATAAGAGAATAAACTCTACAATGACAATTATACATAAGAAAACAGCACCAATATTTGTGGGCGTTATTGCCTGTATTGTGTTTGATCACATTAAGCACATCCCCAATCACAGCCTCCTACTCCCACCTCTTGAGCATTTAACATTTATTTGTGTCAGGAACTGGTGTGTTCTACAGGCTTCGAGAACTAAAGGCAATTCTTAAAATTTCATATGATTGAGGGAATTCACTGGTTTTTTTTGGGGGGGGGTTGCTTTCTTTCTTTCTTTCTTTCTTTCTTTCTTTCTTTCTTTCTTTCTTTCTTTCTTTCTTTCCTTCTTTCTTTCTTTTTTCCTTCCTTCCTTCCTTCCTTCCTTCCTTCCTTCCTTCCTTCCTTCCTTCCTTCCTTTCCTCCTCCTCCTCCTCCTCCTCCTCCTCCTCCTTTTCTCCTCTCCTCCTCCTCCTCCTCCTTCTCCTTTTTCTCCTCCTCCTCCTCCTCCTCCTCCTCCTCCTCCTCTTCTTCTTCTTCTTCTTCTTCTTCTTCTTCTTCTTCTTCTTCTTCTTCTTCTTCTTCTTCTTCTTCTTCTTCTTCTTCTCCTTCTCCTCCTCCTCCTCCTCCTCCCCCTCCTCCTCCTCCTCCTCCTCCTCCTCCTCCTCCTCCTCCTCCTCCTTTCTGGTACTTAGGTCTTATTCTTGGCACTATGCTCAGGGAATCCTAATATGCAGAAACTGGGATCAAACCCAGGTCAGCCTCATCCAAGGCAAGCACTTATCCACAATATTATCTCTCTGACTCCTTAACTGTCTTTTTAATAAATGGAGAAAAATATTCTTCTTTGGCATTATTCTGATATAGCATGAAACACTCAGTAAAACAAGTTGATGCAGTATTTTAAGTATTTTATTAAATTGTATTCTTGTACACACCCTTAATGCTAGCTCTCAAAATTGTCAACTAAGCAAAATTATAGTTTTTACTGAACTAAAATAGAAAGTAAAGCTTATCCATTTGATCATGCCTTTCATCACCCATTTTTATGAAGTAAACAAAATAGATGCAACAAGGAGTTATTCTTCCATCTACCAGTCCTTAAGTTACTAGTGGAACTGACTGATACCTGTCTTCTGATTATGCAAATATTACTTAGTTCAGTTATTTATTTATTTATCTATAAATTTTGTGCATTTATTTTTAACTTGCTTGTATTGTTTAATATGGTTTTTAAAATTAGTATTGTAAGAGATAATTTCTGGTACTTTATTTTATGTAAGGGAAGGGGATTTGTTCCTTGGGGAAGGGAGATTGATATTTTAATTGTATAAATATTTGAGATTTAAAAATAAATGTGTTCCTATTGAACATATAGTATTGGTTAGGTAAAAGAAAAATGCACCACTGTTCAACTGGTATAATTACATATAGAAATGGGTATTGGTTAGTGTGAATAAACTATCTATATAACAAATACACAATAAAGCAATCATCAGAGATCTAGGTGAATGATTTAAAATTCAACGCAACAAAGTGAGGAAGAATTTTCTTTTGCAGTCAGACATTTACAGCACTAGTGAGAATCACTATTATTAGTATCGTTGTTATTTGGTTTGGGGACACATTTGGTACTGCTCAAGCCTCACTCCTGAATGAGTCCTCAGAGATCACTCCTGTCAGGGCTTGCTGACAACATGGAGTGCTGGGGATGGGAGCAGGTTTGACCAAATGTAAGACAATTGCCCTTCAAAGTCTTCCACTTTTCTGGTCACCAGGAGAATATAATTTTGATGAATCTTTAATACAGTCTCAAAATCTATTTGTCAAGCATTGATGATGCAAATATCAGTCAATTATAATGATGTTAATGTCTGTGAACTAATATGATGTATAATAACATTTGATATCTTTGAAATATATGCTTACTCTTTTTGTAAAGATGCTTTTTCCTGGAAAAACTGCTATAAAAGGCATTTAATTGTCTATATAGCAATAGTTAACCAATATACTTTAAAATAAAAAAATTACATTATAATTTCTTATATATTTTATGACCATAAGCATTCATTTTTATTATGATAAAGATAGATAAGGAGAATTTTTATTTGCTTAGTTTTTCAATAAACAAATAATGGTATATTTTATCCAGTTTTGAGTGTCCTAAACAGGAATGCCTGATGAATGACAGCATGTTAAAGATAAATCTGTGTTGTCACAGTGTGCAGTTACTTTGAATGACTCTAAAAGATAAAGATCTTTCTGCCATTGTACATCTTTGGATGTATTTATTGCTCTCTTTCACCCCCTCTACGTATCAGCAAACCTTTAAGACTTTTAACTTTTCTATTACAATCCTAATCATTAAATTAAAGCATCCACATTAAGAAGCTGAGCTAATGAAAGCAGTGTCATATTTTCTTTGGTGTACAAATCAATAAAGTAATCATGATGACTTGCAGTTCAATAATCTGGCTAGTGAAAATGGACAAGGCTTTCAACATACTTATAATAGGTATCAATTTCACTAACAACTTCACTGATGGTCAAGATTATGATTATAACAATTGAATTATTCATAATGACATCCTTTTTCCACAAATTCATTGAGTAGTGCCAAATTTCAAAGAGAAAATGTTGTTCAGCAGACAATAAGCAACATCTTATGAACTGTAAAACAATAATTCTGGAATCATACGATCGTATTTTCCAGGTGCTTATGTGCTCCAAGTCAAGGCCACAGATGCAGATGACCCGACATATGGAAACAGCGCTAGAGTTGTTTACAGCATTCTTCAGGGACAACCTTATTTCTCTATTGATCCCAAGACAGGTAATTGCTTTATTAAGATAACATTCCTAGCACTACTTCAAATATTTAAGCTTTAATTAAATCTTGGCATCAAGAGTTGCTTATTCTAGTACGATAATAAAAATTTAGTGTGTTATGCATAGAGCAAGGCCAATAGAATCATACCTTGCCCTTGGAGGATTTTATACATTAACGTATATTCTTGGAATATCAAGTTTTACATCATGTGAGTCAAGATTACATTTTCTAATGATCCTATATGTTATGTTATGCTTTGAATTGTCAAAAACATAAACTTACTTATTTTATTTTTCAGAGTGAAATGAGTTCAATAGTGTTCAGTTTGAGACCTTGTCAACATGACAAGGTTGTTGCTATTTTTATCAAAAGTTATGAAAAATAGGAGAGGAAGAGGAGGAAAGTGAAGGGTTAAACACATGCAGCGTGTTTAGTGAAGATCACTGATTCCTCTGGGATGTGGCTTTGAAGCCATATTTAAGACATTGTGTTTTTCTTTTTGTCGGGTGAAGATGGACACTCAAATATGGCCCACTGAGTATGCTGGTTTGTGGGGGGTGATAATGGGGACACACCTCCCTATACTGGGTCTATTTCTGTGTGTTTCACAACACAGCAATGGCCCTGCTTCAGTCTAAAAATGCCTGATCATGAGGCTCACCTCATTAGTGCTCAGAGTCCACTAGCACCATCCATGACTTGGGCAGTTATACAGTGCCAGAGATCTAGCTCATGCAAGGCATATATTACAGTCATTCACACTTATGTCACCATCTATATCAGTCTTATTTTTAATCAACCCATTTAAATCAGTTGGTGTCTAAACCATGAAACTCCAGATTTTACTTGACCATGGACATATTCTGACACTGCCCTATTTCCGGTCTTTACCCTATCGATGAGTTATCTCCCTTTACTACCTTGGAGCATCCCGAGGACCTATGTGAGACTCCTGTGGCACTCATGAAAAAAAAAATCACTGTTTTTTTTATTTGGTTTTGCATTTTGGATCACACCCAGCAATGCTCAGGAGTTACTCCTGGCTCTGTACTCAGGAATTACTCCCGGCAGTGCTTGGGTGACCATATGGGATTCCGGGGATTAAACTCTAGTTGGCTGTGTGAAAGGCAAACATCCTACCCACTGTAATATCTCTCTGGCCCCAGAATCACTGTTTTAAGTTGCAGTCATAAAAATAAAATTTGAATCCATGGATTTATAGGATGGACAGGCAGAGAAGATGGAATCTGCGTTCTCTTTTAAACCTATTTTTGGTAGATTGTGAAAAGCTGGTAAGGCGAGTGATTTTTACTGTCTAGTGGTCAAGTTGGTATTTTAGGTTACAAACCAGTGGTCAAATACTAATTCTATGTTATAATACTTTTGGCCATAAAAGATGGTTCAAGGGGCTGTAGCGATAGCACAGCGGGTAGGGCGTATGCCTTGCACGCAGCCACCATGGCCAATACAGGTTCGATTCCCAGCATCCCATATGGTCCCCTGAGCACCGCCAGGAGTGATTCCTGAGTGCATGAGCCAGGAGTAACCCCTGAGCATCGTCGGTGTGACCCAAAAAAAAAGCAAAAAAAAAAAAAGGTGGTTCAAAGGATAGGCACTTGCATTGCTTGTAGCCAACCTGGGTTTCATCACTAGCACCACACAGAGCCCCAGGTATCCCACCAGAGAGATATATGAGCATGGAGGTAGGAGAAATTTGAAAGCATCAACTAGTGTGGCTCCAAAACAAATGAAAACCAAACCAAACAAACAAGTTGAAATAGTTATAAGCTCCTACACAGAGGTCTTAATAATGTTGATTCAGTCCTAGGCAGTACATTAACTAAAACTAAATTAATGGACAATTAAAGTTCTGGATTAATAAATGCCTTTTTGAATCTATGTTTAAACTTTTAAGATGCATCTCCATTTACTTTTATTCACCTTTATTTTGAGGGCCTCCCAAGCAGGGTGCAAGAGGCCCAGAGGCCCTTCCCAGAGACTTTTTTGATGAACTGCAGCAGAGGTTCAATGCAGTGACCCAAAGGTGCGATGCTACTAGGCCATGCAGTGCCAGGATGTCCAGGATGCCAAGAAGGTCCTAAGGAAGGGTTCTCCAGGGGCTGGGGGGGGCATTATGTGTATTAGGGATTTAAGCAGGGTTGCTGCCTGCAAAACATGCACCTAAACTTGTTCTCCTGGCTCCCTAACTCAAAATTATCCATGTGAATGAAGTAAACATTAAAAAATGTTTAATTCCTTAGATATATGTGCTAAAACATGATATCCTAATGATATAGGTTAATTTATAATTAATCCTATTTTACAGCGGGTAGGGCGTTTGCCTTGCACGCAGCCAACATGGCCAACCCGAGTTCGATTCCTCCGCCCCTCTCGGAGAGCTCGGCAAGCTACCGAGAGTATTCGATATGCCTGACACAGTAACAACAAAGTCTCCAATGGAGACGTTACTGGGCCCACTCGAGCAAATCGATGATCAACGGGAGGGCCTTTACCTTACCTTACCTTTACCTTTTAATGTTACCTTTAAATAATAATATCATTTGAGTGACAGTAAAGAATGAAAACATTTTTGATAAATGAGCCTCTCACTTGTCTCAATAAATCTCTTCACTTGTTTTTTTCAAACCAACTGGTTCACAAAGTATCAAAAATTATTTAAGGAGAGGTCTGAAGTAATACTCCAGCAGGTAGAGTGCATGCCTTACACACTGACAGTCAAGGTTTGATCCCTGGCACCATGCCTGTCTCCAGATCCCTGAGTGTAGACCCAGGAGAAACCACTGAGCAACAGTGTTTGTCAAATGGGATTGGGGCAGGGGTTATCACACCAAAAAAATAAATTAACAAAGGAATAAAGATAATAGCTTCTCTCTAATATAACCTAAAGTAGAGTAGATGGAAATAAGCCTAATATTAGTTCTTGAAGGACACAGAAGTGCTCAAGAGTATCCAAAATTTTGCTTGGGAGTAAAGTTAGATTAATCGAAACCAGCGTGTGCGTGATATGAAGTAGGGAAAGTATACTTGTGATATAGTTTATATTTAAGAATAATTTATGACAGCAAACATGATATTCAGTAATATTTATGTTCAGAAACATTTATGACTATTCTTGTTCAGTGGTTTGAAAATAATATGAAATTCCAGACTAAAGATAAAAAGTTTAGGAAGACATTTTGGAAGTGTTTAGTGAAGTGAGAATGTGTAGGATAACGTTGTTCTGTCCTTCCTGCAGAGCCTCAAGTAGCTTAGGTTTATTGGGTTTCTCCCATCCCAGTACTCCCATTTCTCTGTGTTTATTTGTAACCTCTTTGTCTGTGCTCTATTGACTTGTAAATATTGCTTTTCTCTACTCCCTAAGTCCATTGCATAGTTTATTCAGAGCAATGTCCTTTCTGTATAGACACAAGAATACAGTATAAAGGTAAAGGTAAAGGTAAAGGCCCTCCCGTTGATCGTCGATTTGCTCGAGCGGGCCCAGTAACGTCTCCTTTGAGACTTTGTTGTTACTGTGTCTGGCATATCGAATACTCTCGGTAGCTTGCCGGGCTCTCCGAGAGGGGCGGAGGAATTGAACTCGGGTCGGCCATGTTGGCCACTTGTAAGGCAAACACCCTACCCGCTGTGCTATCGCTCCAGAATACAGTATATGCTTTTGTAATATAACTCCCAGTGATGTTTTCCTCCTGGGCATCTGTTCTCTGGACCTAAGCCTCAGCTGTCCTTATTTCCTAGTACCCCTAAAAGTAGGGTCCCAATGAGGGACTGGATGGAACCAGGGCAAGTGGTAAGCTATGTGCTACCCTGGCATCAAGGTGGGTCTGGCCGAGTTTCAATAATGCTTAACTATAAGTTAAGAGCTTGGTCATGGACAAATGCTGTCATGATCCAAAAAGTAATAACTAGATTTGTACCCTGCTAGGGTTAGGAATGATTAATATGGCCTAAGCCTGAGCACTGTTGTCTGAATCTGTAGCAAGATGTTCTCAGGAGAGCTGCCCTACAAGCCTCAATTTTATTTCTTACTGTGCCCACACAAAAATGACTAGTATTAAGATGTTGATAGACTTATTGGACTGAGGAAAGGAGAAAAACACCATAGGAGGTATTTTGTCTTTGGACAGTCCAGACAGTTTTTGGAATACCCTGGGTGGTATTTTCTTTGAACCTGGTGGGCTCTCAGGAAGGGCTTTCTTGTGTTGATTTTGCTACCAGACTGGATGTAGCATGGACCCAGAGAGAAATGGCGAAAGAGACAAGTAGGGATGGAGAGACTAGTGGATAAGAGACTGAATCCAGAGAGATGGGACTGAAGAATGAGGAGCTAGGAAGAGGAGTAGGAGAGACAAGAGAATTGGAGAGATGAGAGAGAGAGAGAGAGAGAGAGAGAGAGAGAGAGAGAGAGAGAGAGAGACAGAGCAGGGCTGCCAGATTGGCCATGGAGAGACTAGCAAGGGTGACAGAGGGAGAAGAATGTAGAAGAATACAGGAGCAGGCACGTGGAGAGAGAGAGAGATCCCAGGCTGTGATATGGAGCATAGAGAGGTGAGCAGGAGAGAGAGGAATGAGGGGAGTGTGAGACTAGAATGGGGGAATGGCTCAGAGAGACTGGAGCAGGCGCGTGGGGAGAATGGAATAAATGGCAACTGATCAACCAACCGGCTTGTTCCTCTCGTCCTCTGCTGTCTGCCCCATGGCCCCCGGGCTGTCCCAGCTGGGCAAGCGCCCGGGGGCCCCCCAAACCCGGGTGAACAGGGGAAGAGCCGCTGGGGCTTTCCTGGCCGCCCCCAGAGTTTATACAAGGATGGTATAAATTTATAGAAGAGTTAAGTGTTGAAGAGCTGGTAGAATGCATTGGGAAATGATGAAAAGAAGCAATATAACTTATTCAATTTTCTGGATAGAGACATATAAGGATATGTGCCTTATGTATTTACCTATACTATATTATAAAACTTATATTTATATATTTCATGATTACG